CCCCAAAACCCCAAAACCCCAAAACCCCAAAACCCCTAAAAATCCTAAAAATGGAAGATTTCAATAATTATTATATAAAACATGAGCAAGGTTAAGACTAAACCCAAAACTAAGTTGTCAGACTTTGAAATTATCACCAAGCTTGGAGATGGGAGTTACAGTAATGTTTATAAGGTTAGAAGGCTGGCTGACCACAAAATTTACTGTATTAAGAAGGTCAAGTTATCAGGACTCTCTGACAAGGAAAAGCAAAATGCTTTGAATGAAGTCAGAATCCTTGCTAAAATTAAGCATCCTAATATTATTAGTTACAAAGAAGCCTTTCTAGACAAAGAATCTGTTTCTTTATGCCTCGTCTTGGAGTATGCTGACGATAAGGACCTGTACAAGAAAATTAAATCTAAATAAAGCCCAAGAAGAATTATACGAGGAGGATGACATCTGGTACATTTTCCTACAGATCTTAAAAGGGCTAAAAGCCCTTCATGATAAGAAGATTATGCACAGAGACCTCAAAAGTGCCAATGTCTTTATGAGCAAAGACCTCACTGCTAAACTAGGAGATATGAATGTTTCGAGACTAGCTGATACGAACGGCCTTAATTATACACAAACTGGCACTCCCTACTATGCTTCTCCTGAGGTGTGGAAAGACAAACCCTATGATTTTAAAAATGATATATGGGCATTAGGATGTGTCTTGTATGAAATCACTTGCCTCGAGCCTCCTTTTAAATCTCCAAACATGGAACAGCTATATGAAAAAGTCATGAAAGGGCTTTATCCTAGAATTCCTAAGTGATATTCCCAAGACTTAGCTATTGTTATTAAAAGCATGCTTCAGGTAAAAACAAAATATCGCCCAACTGTAGACGAACTCATGAAGCATGATATCATAAAATCTAGGCTAAATGAGCTAAACCTTGATGAATCAGGAAGTGATGATTCTGTTGAAAATTCTGACATGGAAAACTTGAACAACAACTACACCAACAAGCTTCCCCTCCCAAATTACGCTCCCATTCTAACCGACAGGGATATCCTCTGAGTATCTGATCCAGTTGACAATGAACCTCTCAAGCCCCAAAATGTAACGATAGATGACTATAATATGGAAGTGGTAAACAACGCGAAACCTCTCTTTCTTCACAAAAGTATCGAAGAACCTCAAAATATTAACGAAAAGCACAATTTCAGTATGAAGAACTCCGTTCCAGGTACTCTAGCTTCTAGAAAGCTTCTAACATCTCTAAAGAAGCATATAAAAAGGACTAACCGTTATAAATCAAGCATCAGGGCTGATAATAGCTTGCCTTATAATTTTAAACAACATTACAAAGATTTGATTTCTATCAACAGATCTTCAAAAGAAAGCCTACGAAGTATCAGTGATCGAACATCAATGGCCACCAACCGATTTGGCCTACAGCGTAGATCAAATAATTTGGAAGCTCCAATGCAGTCTTATGCATTGAGGATGGATAAACATCATATGCAACTGCCCAAGACCTCTGCACGTAAAGGAAATAAGAGACTGACCAAGGCTCACTCAAGTAGCCAGAAAAGGCTAGAGAACCATAAATCAACAGATATTCTTAAAGAAACTTCACAACAGGTAATTCATAAATTCTGATATTTTCCCCTAATAGTGCAATTCTGCCACATAAATATTGGCTTAACAGTACTAACTTGTCGCTCTAGACTGATCAAAGAATTAGGCAATTCAGTAAAGGAATCCGGGTTAACCAAAGAGGTGACAAGGAAATCTCTCCATCCGCAATGGAGAGAATCTTTAACCGCATTGATAGACACTTAGAGAACTATCCAGCCAGTAAGTCGAGTAGTCGAAATTTGCAAGCTAAAAAGACAGAAGACCGGTCTCTCATCCTTCCTAACCTTAACAAGAAACCTTCTGGCTACCAGTCGATTCAGAGTAATGACATAAAACATGCACGAATGAAGGAAAAATCACTGAACTACATTAGAAGAATACCAGCAGACCACCACTCTTCGAAAATGAGTGCTTTATCTATCAGAGAAACCCCAATCCCCAAGAGAAAATCTAAGCGCAAAAGTCGCAAATTAGGAATAACTAATGCTAAAATACATGAAATAACCACTCGTGAGGAAGACCTACAGGATCATCCGAGTAAAAGTGTATCTCTAATAGCTAGTAATAAAAATATGCTTCATGAACGGTTTAGGAAGCTTCTCAGAGACAACAAGAAGCGTTCCATCGGGCTTCATCAATAATAATTTCACTATAATCATTGTATCTAAAAATTTTCGGGGTTTTGGGGTTTTGGGGTTTTGGGGTTTTGGGG